GTTTATATGGAGATTTAAGTACTGCTTGATAAAGTAGGTTAAAAACTTCCTGCACCAACTAAGACTGCTCAAAAGAGGAAAAGTTATGAAGGAGAATTTCTATACCCGTTCGCAACTTCAAAACCGTCGCTTGAAGAAACTCAAAAAAAAGTCGGTTAAGGCCAATTATCATAAATAATGGTGTGAAAAAAGTAACCAAAAAACTTGTCACATCGTGTTCGTCAAAAAAAACTTTAATAAACAGTTCTTCTTTTTGCTGAGTCTTTGATGAAGTTTAAAACGAAACAAGTGTCACTGATTTGTGCTTCTCTAAAAATTTCTTATTTTTATTTCAAATTTTGATGTTCCTATAACTTACAAAAGTTAAGCTGCCTATACAGGCTTCGACAAAACCCACTAGTAGCTGGTGATAAGTACAAATCTGTTAAAAACGAAAGCAAATTAGGTATATCCCTGACGAAAACGGTTCAAAAGCCAATTAATAAATTGGTTTGAAACCTAATGTCAATCAACAAATAAAATGATTCTAAATCGAACGCCAATTCCAATTTTCAAACTGTCATTACTGGTATATTTTCCAATGCCTGTTGTGCGAATTTGTCGTAACATTCAGTTTTCAAATGTGCATGAATATAATATCGTAATTTGGATATTACTTAATGATAAAAAAACTTATGTGTGTAGAAAGAAAAAAAAAGAATTTTACTTCCGCTGAATTAGTATTAACAGCGAAAATGCAGTTGTCGATACACTGATAAGGCGTCAGGTAGAATAATTCCATCATTGGCTGTGAATTTTCAATAGAACGTCGCGTAATTCGGCGAAAGCATGCTGAGTCTGTAAACTGGTCAAACTGATCTCTGCCAGCATAACATCAGATCTATTGTACTTAGATCAAAAAGAGGTTATCAGTGTATCCTACAATGTCTCCTACACAAATAATATGTTTGAAAAGTAGTAACAGCAAAAATTTCTTAAATCCTCTTAATAGTTAATTCGTTTTTTCAATTGAATTTTTTTTTTATTATAAACTTTGAAAGATTCTTTTGTTTTAGTGCGAAACCTGAGAATCAAAGTATCGAAACTTGACTGGAATTCAAGTTAAGGAACACGTCTGCAACTACACTTTTCTTCTTTTTTAATTTATAGAATTCTCAAAATCTTGCTAATAAAATAACTTCTCAAATACGTCCAATTGAAAATTAGGAAATAAAGGTAAAAAAATTAATTTGTGACAAAAATCTTAACTTCAGCTACCAAAAAAGATGCTACCACGTGTATACTACAGAAATAAAACTTCAACAACTTTCAAGCCTTTTATTGCTCGCCCAGCATCCCTCTCAATCCTTCTGTCTGCTATTTGAGAATGATTGAAACACTCAGAATAAAAATTTTCATTTACTTGTTGAAAACTACAGATTTCAATTCCGTATCAGTATGAGCAAACCTTCTATATAAGGCTTGAACAGAATAACACAGGAAAACAAATCACTAAGAAAGATGATTGATTAATTTATCTGTTTGAAAAACACGAAATAACAAAATCACCGTTGCTGGTAAAATAAACAACACGGCAATCAACGTTAAAACAAAAATGCTAGCTCGTTTTGTCTAACAAGCTATTAAATTTAGCTGCTTATCAGCCTATAATGTAAATTAAAAAATCTTGCAGTAGAAATAACAAATCAAGGTAGAACTTACATCGAGACCTGGTATTGACAGTGACAGTAACAATTAAAAGCATAAAGACAGTTCTATAAGTCATTTTCAGATACTAACCACTAATAAAGCGAATCTCGATAATAGGTGGATAGAGCAGTATCAGAAATCAGGGAAATTAAATTTGAAATCACAGTGTCTGAATGAGTGGAAAGCAGCCAAACGAAACAACTTCTTTACGTCAGTCTGTACGCTTGTTTGTGGGTCATTTCGTTTTGCAGAAGTGCCTTTTGGACACACATCCGTTTGTGCAACAACACCCGCGAGCAGAAACAGCGGTAAGGTCAAAAAAAAAAAAGATTGTTTTTTTCTAATAATTTTTATAACCGGATTACTGACCGCTGGACTTCATTCCTACCAGAAATATGTTCCTGGCCATGTCACTTTTATTGTATGTCCGCTCCATTTGCTAGATAATGTGCAGCTCATTGAAGTTCATGAGCACCTGAAATGAGCAGTTTTTTTAGCGTCTTTTTCTAACCAGATTTATTTTAATTTAAAACAAATTCTTAATAAGACTGTAAGTCAAATGAAAGTTTTAGTGCAGAAGATACCTCCACAACAACAACTTTGAAGGGTCCTGAATACTGTATGTTGCTCAAGTGTTATACCGCATGAGTAACTATAAAAAACCCCATGTTTTATAAGCCGAAAAAGCTATCAAGCTTGTTGCTTTACATATTTAAACACGAAGTAATTGACAAAATACTGAGCTTATGAAAAGATTTGTGAAACCAACTTCAACAGTAATATGAAAATTTTGTGAATTTGCGATTTTTAGCTTTTTAGCAAAAGTTTAAACGTGACCGTTGTATAAGTTCTCTATAAATTTTCGTACACTTTCAGCTATTTAAACGTCTTATTCAGTAAACTTCTGTTAAACTTGACTTTAAAAAAAAAGTATTTAGTTTGTTGTACCCAAAAAAATTTTTTTGAAGATAAAAAGCTGTTCATTCAGCAGAAAGTTAATGGAATAGGCAGTATTTTGAAACGCGAAATTACAAGGTATGTTTAATCTTTCATAGTCAGTATGACGACCATACAATACGTTTAAGAGATCAACGTTGGTCATCGACATTCCGCTAGCGTTGCTAAAATTTTTGTAAGAACATTGGAGAATCTCTTAACGAGAGGAAACTTGACGGTACTAAAGTAACTGCTTCTCTTTTAACCAAAAAATTTCTCTTATTTTCTGCTGCCAACACGCAGTGGGTGTAACTGGTGAAAAAAAATATTATTACAATAACATTTTAATGTACAAAAATAAAAAGTTAAGTTTTAAAACTGAAAAACTCAGTAAGATATGATTTTTGTCTTGATTGACTGCTGTTTTCTGTATTTTTCATCTGAGTTATTCTTAAAGCATCTCATTCTGCCAAAGCTGGAATAGCAAAACCTAATTTTTTTCTCCATTACCAATCGGCATCCAGGCGTCATGTTTTGTATAAAATGGGTAATATAATGTGGCACTGGACAAGTGAAATGCCTTTCCTAATTTGGTAACAGTTTTACTTAACCATAATAATTTGGAAAAAAGAAGTTATAATGCGAAGAAATAAAAGAAAAGAAAATTTTATTAAACTATTATAAAACATTGTTTTTCAAACATTCTTTAGTTGTTTGAAAAATGCAACTATTTGTTGAATAATTTTAAAATGACAGTCACCAGAAAAAAAAAAAAGTTCAGTTATTGCATTAAATATGCTGCTTATAATCAGTTTGTTGTATATTTTTACAAATATCATTTCGCTCATAAATCTCATCATAAGTTTCAACACCGACAAAAACAGCACTTTGAAAACAGGAAACGTAAAGATTATAAGATATGTAATCTTTGCGTCAGAAGTTTTCAAAAAGCAAAGTGAAAAAAAAAAAAGCAACTTTTTTTTATCACAAATCATACCGGAAAACAAAAATTTATTTCTGCCTTATATAAAAAATAGTGCTTTTATGCCGTACAAATTGAAGATAAGAAACAATAGAAAAAAAAGAAACTTTTTGTTTTACATTCGAATCTTTTTTTTTCATCTAAATTTTAGTTTTTCAAACAGTTTTAAAAGTGAAAAAAAAACTGGAATGAAGATTAAGATAAAACTCAAGTAACCGTTTCGCGATTTTTGAAAATTTTTACACGCTCAACTTTATTCCTGAAATTTGTTTGCACCGTCTGATACAAATAGAGCT